ATATATATATATATATACGATGATCCCAGCACTGGCCCAGTCTCTTCTTGAAGAACATTGCATCTCTGAATCAAATCTAATCTGAATTTTTTGCAGCTATTGAACACTCCAAAAGGTTCCAAGAAAACACCACTAAAAGGTCCATCGACAAAAGGTGGCTCAACTCACAAGACTCCGTCAGCAAAGCCGCGATCGATGCATCGATCTGTTTCACGAACACAAGCACCAGTCGACTCTGGATTATCACATCCGACTACCTCTCGCACTCTACCTGCAAGAGATGTGAAGCACGCGGCTGCCAGACGTCGAGCCGTAAGCCCATGCATACGACCGAACCCAAAAACGTCATCTCATCTTCATAATCTCCTTACCAAAAAAGCACAGATTCGTTCCATCTTCAAACAAAAAATGTCAGTTGCTGGGACGCAAATGTCAATTGCTGACGTAGGTTTACGCACAAACTATGAACATTTTCATGTGATTGTTCAATTTATTCATAAGGGTTTCATAGTCGAATATCTCGATTTTATTCATAGGATAGTCCCAAAACTCTTATCGTTAGAGTTGATCAATATTTCCCATGACAATCAACAATGCAATGTGCTCAATGCGCATCTTGTTGTGCCAATAAGAAATCATGGCAATATGCGTCAATTATTCGATATCATAAATTTTTGCCTTAACTTTGTGCATTTCTAGACATTCCCCAGAAAACATTGTGGCTATCGGATTCCATGAAAACTCAAAGGTACAATCAGAGAGAAGCAAAATGACGAATTCAGAGCAACTTTCGAAATATAGCAACAAAAAGTCAGCAAAAAATGTATCAAAATATTGCAAAATTTCTCAGAAATTCGGTAGTGTAATTTTAGGAAACAACAAAGCCTTCAAAGCATTTGGTACCGGTGAGCACCTCAACGAAACCAGACAAAGGAACTGAAGCGACCAAGAGTCGTAAACGTGAACAGCGAAGGTACCACCAAAATTCCGATTCCAGTTCCCTAACAGAGAAAAATATTTCCGAGTGTGGCATTGTTCATAAATCGAGCAGAATAATTAATTCAAGCATCGAGATTCAGTGAATTGCCTCAGCTGCACTGACCCGAGTGAGATGTACTGATTCAACTTTGATACCTAAAAATTCACGTACGAATTCATAGTTGCATGCATTAAGCACAACAGAAACGTTGAGTAGTTGTTCTTAAAATTTGAACTCCCCATTTCAAGTGTTTTCACTATCTTGTTATTATTAACCGTGCGTTTTGAAGACATTAGGCATTGCGGATTTCAAGGTGTCCCTAGACGAGACGGNATTTGAGGCAACTCAGATCAGTTAAGGCAATTCAGTGAATCTCACATGCTCGAACGAATTAGGAGATCAATTTGCAAAAATCGCACTCATATTAAGAGATTGAGCTATGGAGCGAAAAGGATAGTGATTTACACTAGCAACTAGAAAATGATGAACGTGAACTGATGATGAGAGCGATGAACATGAAGAGACGATCGTATTTTCAGGCAGCGGTGACATGGATAACCGACCATTTTTATCTCACGTTTCAAGTGGTGAATTTCATCGTATTGCGAAAAATGAGTCCCCAACAACTCAACTCTTTTCAATGCTGTTTCATTTCCTCATGAATTGTTTGATTCTGTTCAGCTTTAGAACTAAAAAATTGTCCAGATTCATTGTACACTTCGTTCGTATTCGTCATGCATAGTCGGTGATAGAGATTATTCACCTTGATACCATTTCACAGAATAAGTGCGACAGCGACAGTCGCAAGAGGTCACTATCTACTCTATCATATGTGTGCAACTCATAGACCTACAATTCCCTCACTCCAAACATAATACAGTTGACAAAAATAGATCGCGAATTAAGCATCCGTAGCTAATGCGTTTTGAGGGAGTTGAGTACGCATACAATACATTCCAGATTATATAATTGTGTGGGCAAGAAACGATATCTGAATATTGTCACAATTCACAGACGTTGATACGTTGGATTCTGAAAGATTGTGTTTTGGAATGGACGTTTACATGGCTGAAATATTTTTGGTTCGTGTTCAAAGCAATTAGTAAACTCAGAAACTGATAATTGCAGTGGAAAAGGTCTCTACAATATTTTTGTGAGATATTGCCTCCGGGAGTTATGATGGACACTTAATTCAGTTGAGCATCTTATCGAAAATCGCGGTTTTCACATGCAATATCATCTTACCGTTGTTTGAACCCCGTAAGAATCCGCTTATGCTTGTCAGAAAAAAACATTATTAATCTTCTTATTATAATCATTCTCACCTCTGTTCTGTTCAAAATAGTTATCATCTAATTTGTCATTTTTTATTATCTCTGTTATGTGTCAATTCTGTCAGATATCTTTTTGTTGTGACTATCATGATAAGACTTTTGATCACGCCTTCTTATCGCCATCAAACGTTTAGTAACTAAGATTAATTCACAGGAGCTTAAGCTTAGATCTTGGCTGAACGCAAGATTGCATGACCTTCAGACTCAGAATAGATGACCGAATAGTACGTGATCAAATAACTTATGATCATGATTATTGTCCTCATTGTTGGCCGCTTTACTCTCATGAATATCACTGATGTCGGCGTTATTGTCACTGTTATTACCTCCTAATTGAATAACTCTGTGACATAAATCTAAAGCACTGTGAAGAACATCTATGTGAATTCCCCGGTCTTTTCATTGATAAATCAAATTCAGTGTTGCATAAAAATTCAATGTTACTGCTATTCTTGTCTGTAACAACAAATTGGATGACTAGCAATGGGTTCCTTCGTTCGTATTCATCGAACGGTTCACGTTCAACATGGTATTGAAATATCTCCGGTACACTTATCACCTACGACACAAAATGATAAGATAAAAATTGAAATATTTCCGGTAGTTCAGTAGGGCAAAAGAGAAATGCATGAATACGGAGTAGTAGTACCTCCGAGCCTTCTTAACTACGGTAACTAGCCACGCCCACAAATTACGGTAGTTAGCCACGCCCGCACTTAAGGAAAACGTTATGAATCGAGTAAAGACACGAACAGTTGAAAAATCGAAACGGTCACACTAATTTGTCTGTTTAAGAGACGAGGAATGATCCATGTTAATTTATTATTTAATTTAATCTTATGTTGTAGTTGTTAGATCAGAACTTGCAGGTTTGTCGAGCTTACAAGCTAAAGAAAGACCATCTGGACTACGCGCATGCATTCATTAATTTCATGTCATTTTGGCCCCACCCACTTTTAACAGTCAGCACCAATGATTTTACTTATGGTGAGAATTTCTATGAGACGCTAAATAGCAATTAGTAAATGAAATCGTTGCATCAATCTTTCCACCACCAGTATCACTGACCACTACTAGTATCATCTTGCAATAATACATAATCAACGTAACTCTGAGCAACCTCAAACTTAATCAGTTAATATCTAAGAAAACAACCTCATTCTAAGCACCACTGAAACCAACCGATTTATTATAGTACTCGCAAGAGTAATCGCTCATTTCCTTGCAATTTTGAAATCAGCAAACGAGATACTGTGCAAGATTTTGATACGAAATCTCGCCCACGGCATCCGAG